TGACCACTACTGAAACAAGTTTAAAAATTTGTGATATTAGAATAACTCGGAGCTTTGACATCGCGCCCAATCAGCCCTTTCATTCACAGACCAACTGGTCAGACGAGAACCATGTGTGTACGTGCATGCTTCCGGTCTAAGTGCGTGAACTCAGGTTGTCTGACGAGTTACGTTGTCCCAGCTTTAACCTCATAGGCAGCGGCTGAATGGATATCAGAAGAAAGATGTGCACCCGATGGAGATTTTCGGATTCAAATTTTGAACTGAACCGTTTAACACAAATCAGGATGTGCCTTGTTGAAAGTTCGCTGAATAGCGATTCCCCTGTGGAGATCGCAAGCATGCCTTTCGTTTGNTGAACCGCTTAACACAAATCAGGATGTGCCTTGTTGAAAGTTCGCTGAATAGCGATTCCCCTGTGGAGATCGCAAGCATGCCTTTCGTTTGTGAGTTGTCCAAAGCCCAGTGCTTCAGCTCAGGTGTACCAAATGCAGTCAATTGCGGATTGCGTCGGTACGAACGTACGAATCAAATGAGTCCCGGTTTATGGTATTTACCAAGTAAATGTGCCAAATTAATTTCATAAACGGGACGTTCGTTTGTATGTATGATACACAACGAGTGTGCTTCATACGTTGCTTATAATCTGCTTGTTCAAGTAGACCGTACACTTATTGGAAACCAGGGGAGCCCCGAGTGCTGACGGATTGCCAAAGTGTCCTCATAAATAATACACTATTTTGGGACAATGTACCCTCTGTAGCTGGTGCATGTTTGTACAAATGTGCAATTAACACCAACGTTACTAATGTTGATGGAGTGCGACAGGCTGAGGCAGTAAGTATAAATCCAACGCCTCCTGAGAGAAATCTGAGAAACCTCTATTGTATTTCCAATCGCTAGTGTGGTTAGATATGATGTGTACGGTGTTGGTGAACTCATCGTGGCATGAATAGCTTGGGTGCTTTCAAGTGCCATTCGATCAGCTGACACTGGGGACCTATTGATAGCCACTGTTACGGCAGTACCCGGGCAAGGAAATGTCCAACATTCATTTGTCGTTTCTGACTTATTGAAACATTTTGTCCTTTTGAAGCTCCCACGAATGGCGGAGGTGAGTGTTCTACCATTCGGTTATTTTTGAGCAAGCGACCCCTGGTCCATTTCCGGTTGTAGTGAGTTCATTTCATGGCCGGCTTGGATTATAGGCTGTGTTTGCAGTACACGCGCACTCACAATGACGATTTGGTTTGTACAATCATCGTTTAGTGGAACCTGCAGTTTCATGGGTACAATAAAATTGGAAGGTTGTCCTCACAAATGTTGACTGGTCACCAGTTCGACAAAATGTTCGGTTTTGAGTTTCGTTCCATGGATGAGGCGTAAAGCGGATTTGTACTCGAATAGCTATAATGCAACTCATGTACGTCAGTAAGTGGCCTAAAGGGACGTGCGTAACTGTCTTGCTTGTGTGAAATCTAAGCACACTGATTTAGCAGCGACCTGTCTAGGGTTTTCGAACTTCCTTGTTGTTCTGTGTCAAGGCAGCATTTCGAAGAAACTATGCCAAAGACACGACTATTTCTGCTCGGTGTTCTGTTTTCATTTGGTTTTCCCAAGAATGGCCGAGATTTCCGCGGGGACCTTGTGCTTATCTGATTTTGTTGTCCGATCACTGGGTAACTCACTTAAGGAATGCGAGTATGTACCAGTTCATTCTCTTTACACGTCTCTTTCGATTGTACGGGTATTCGTACTTCTCGTCTGGTCAACTACTCTGTATTTTATAACGCAGGTCAATTATGCGCTGCTGAGTCATTTTGATGTCTTATGTTATGAGATGAGACATCTTGAAGAATACCATGGTTAGGTTTATTTTATAGGTCGGATGTTGCTGCATGTTGGCAAAGGTGAAAATCTGAGTATGTGATACAGGAGATAGGCATAGACGTATAATCCATTTACGTAGTGTTTCGTAAAACATTGATTCCCCCATTACAAAGAAGACCTTTATCCATTTTGTGTTCCCTTTTCGCGTATTCTTACACTCTACCGCGTCCACGTTTTTGAAAGTTTTGTGCAGAATTCGGCACACAATGCTGTAAGACTGCCCAGTTTCAACTGCTTCATTTTGATGGTGCGGGATTAGTTGTCTGTTGACTGATATTTGTAGAGTTCAGCATGAAACTTCAAGCGTTGTGAAGCCACTCATCAGAGATCGATGTGGATATATATATTTCTGGAGTGTTTCATCTATGCAGACGAAGGCTCACACCTCGTTTGGCCCCTTATTCGATCAGGAGTTGTATCTACTTTCAATGACCTATGTAGTCCGAATACACGATCCGAGCATGACGGCATAACGTTGACCAACATCCCTCGTTCCATTCCACCAAGGCACTGACCGCATCCACCAACACTTCCAAATTACAGAAGAACACCGGACGTCTTGCAAGTAGTCTGGCAATACGATGTCCTCGGGAGCATACCCATGATTGCTTTATTAAGGTGGGAATAGAGAACAGAGCAGCAGATCACCACTGAGGTGGATTTCGATACTTTTGTATGGTAGTATGACTGTGATCAGGTTTGCAATTCGGTGCAGACTTGCCTCTGACAGATGTTGGATAGACATGAGAGAATGTGACCCAGATGACTTCCGTACTGATTTCGGGGGTTTGACCTGAAATTCCGATTCTGCCCGGACATATATGTCGAAAATTTGCACAGACACCGGTAGTCTTAACTGTGCTGTACACTGTACAACCGCACCATTTGACGCCCCTATGGTCTAGCACTGGATCGCCTCTTTTCTCAAAGCTTTTCAGGCTCGTACAGGGAGCAGTTCCCCAGGATGTACTATCAAGTGTCAGATTTCACCCAGGTGTCGAATTGAAGATGAGAGTTTCCCAAACTCATCTGGTGGCTGCCAAAGTAGCGGAGTTTCGGTCGGACTTGTGTTCGAGCTTCGCTTCACAGATTGTCTCGGTTAAATTGCTCCAGAATGTTAGCATCAGCAATTCCTTGTACGTCTAGGCACAAACAGTCCTTACATTGCATACTTTCAGTGTTCGTAGGATTTCTGCAAGCGTCCCAGTGAAATTTGCCCAGAATCCTGATGATGCATGGGTGTGGTGTCCCAGTTTCGCTATCATACACTACTTATGACAGCGCATTAGTCTGGTGCACAACAACAGTGATGTCCACGCGCAGGTCGCGATTGCTCCAAACGCCTTCATCTCGGCAACCGAAAGCAGCACTCACTAGTCAGCAGCGTCCGAGCGTGTAGTTCGACAGTGATTGTCAAGTCTGGACGCGGTATTTGGAATTTCGTAGCATGCTACTTCATCTTCATTAAGTTGAACACAATGTGTTTGCTGTTGTAAACACAGGCGGGTTGGTCAGACTAATGCGTTTCAATATCACTCATGTTTGGACCGAAACGAGATGCTCTTAGGGCAAATGCAGTGTTTATTCGCAGCGATTCCGCCTTCGAAATTGACAGTAGGGACCAGTCATTGGCTGTGTAGCGTTGAAATGAAGAGACGTTCCTGCACACGGCGTAGTCCGACACAGGTTAGACAAAACTGGAGCCAGAACGCAGGCTAATTTTCACTCGTAGCCATTCACAAACTCGGCGCCAGCGGTATCCTAGGAATGATATAGATGGATTATTTACATAAAGCCAGTGTTGACGACGATGGTTCTAATCACAGCCCTAATAAACAGAGGACGGTGGGAGTCAGACGGCCAAGCTTTACTCCTAATGGTGCTACATATTTCAGGGGTTTTGGGCCAAATCGGTGTCTTGGTTTGCAAAACCAATTTGTACAGTCATGGTTAATCGCTGGGGTCCGTTGTGCTGAAATTTCCTAAGATATTCTTCAGCGGCGAAGCATCGCTTCTCTCACAAGTATGTAGATGCTAGTCAACTGGGGGAAACAACATAGGATCTTCACAACCCTGTCTCGGCGAACAGGGGGATTTTATTCCCGAATCGCCTAGAAATCAGTCGCCAGCCGCAAGACTGATCTTTATCTGGTTGTCCTTTGTTAGCATTCGCAACATGATGAAACGTTGAGGGACGAAATCCGGCTAGTGTAGCCCGGAGAATCATCGAAACATTCACGTCTGACCACCACCAAGACGCGATAGCTCTTGGTCGGGAGCTCCGTTTTTCCATTAATTATGTTCATTTAGTTTCGCTTTTTCGGTCCCTCGAAACTTTCCCATATACCCCTCGACTGCTGATACAAAAATCGTCTGTGTCACTTTTAGACTTCAAAATAGAACGAGTTGCACACCCGTATTCGTTGAAGCCCGTAGTTTCAGCAATAGAAAACCGAAGCCGAGCATCTACAGCATTAGTGTATATGTCCCACAAACTGAATCTTACATGTTCGTTTTCGCGGATAACAATGAATTCCTACACCCCCAAGCATCGCCGTAACAATAGTAGGAGAAAATCTAATAGCTGAAGGATTTTCCAGTCAACAGAGAGACGATCGGAAGCAGGAAAAGGCCAAACATACGCGCGGAGATCAACTAAACCACAGGATGCAGACAATCTGTTGTGTCTTGCTGAAAGGTAGTGCAACTCTGTATCGGTCCCTTGACTTCCTGCTCCGCTCACTGTGGTATATCAAAAGGCACGGTAGCTCTATACAGCCCTTTGTGGAGACAAGAGAAAATTAATACAACTGTATTTATAGGCTAAGCACAGGGTGTTCCACAAGATCGTGCCAGAATCTCCGTGAGGGGGCGAGAAGCGTCGAGTCACGGAAGCTCGACTCGGATTGGCCGGCATTCTGACCAATCAGGGTATGGTTTTTTTTGGCCCGTGTCCTGCACGTGACGCATCCGTCCGAATAATGCGATGTTCGGTTATTAGGGACGGCTGGCCTCCGGACACAATCCCCACATCCCAAGAAAACAATAGGGACTGACGGAAAAATTATTTGTATCTTAGCAGCCGATTTGATTCGTTGATTTGTATTCACCACAGGTGATAACGGTTGAGGCAACGGTGAATAACGACTGTCAGTTCTGGAAAGTTGAGTAAAAAACAAACATGGTGCCATGTATCAGCATTGGTGCTCAGCCAGGTGACGAATGTGGGCCCACATTCTTTGAGAAATCAAATCACACTGACAAATTAGAAGCCGCTGCTGATAAAGTGACTTAAAATATTACTTTCCTCTGTGGACGGTTTGCGCTCCGCGCAGGCATATGCAGCCTTATTCGGTTTTGTGTTGAATAGCATGCGTTCACAGCTAACTTCTCTCAGCGTTGAAACAACATTTAAGCGCCTAATTGAACGGTGTATTACGATTTGCTGGAAAGGCCTATCTTATTTTTACTGATCCCTGGATAATCGTCTATCTAAGGGATCAAGCTAGGTTGGTCATTCAGACGTGGTTCTGTGGTGGTTTACCTAAACACATGTTAGCTCCCAAATTGACACAAGAGTTCATCGCCCCTGACATCTACCGGATGGGTGGAATGCCAGAACTTGTAAAGTTTTGTGTTTTCGAATGCACATTACAGATATGCTTACGAGGCTGTTGTTGAGTATTTGTTTGAAGGATCGGTTTTATTCAGTTCATAGTTTACCTGCCAATAAGTTTCCCTTAACTTAGCACAACGGACCAACGAATACCAAAAAGGAAGGCGACAGGCTAATCATCATTTCCACATTAAACGATCGGTCGGATGACTTCATATGTGGTCGATTTTGCGCAAGAAAATATCCACCACCATCACGCGTCATTCATTGTCGTTCTTGTCGGGGGCTTCGATCGTGAGATTTTTAGCGTTCAGTAAGACGAATTTCCTGAAAACTATTTCTGGGAAGTGAAAGCTTTGTCAAGAACTTTCGGTTGTCTGAAGGTCCGATTCCTTCTTCAATACTCTTGCCAAATACAGTATCGTTTTTGTTTACTGTTTTTAAACAGTAAATCTTCTTCACAACTGTGTGTTTTGGTCCCACGGTTGATGAAGGTGAATAACCGTGACTATCACTCAAGTTTTGTATGGAGCAATGACGAATTGCACGTTCATTTCTACCGCATGTAATAATCATTAAGAATATTCGCCATTTTATAAAATAACAGGTGCATGGAGAAAGGGGCTACAGTTTTACACATTTAGGTTGAATAGATTTTAACGTAGATTCCAGTTTGTCCACGCACACTGGACTGAGATTCCTGTATTCTGAAGTCGCGTAATTTTTTGAGAAATATCCATCGTTAACTTCCACATAGCACCGCTGATGGAGTATAGTCTTGTGTAATGTTTGGTGAAAACTTCAGCATTTCACGGCCCATTTGATGCTGTTGAGTACTTCACAGCAATTTCTGGAATAAACAATGACTACTAAACTGCCGTGATGTCTGTAAAAAATGCTTCTAGAAGGACGAATGAAGTGAAGAACAGGTTTCCGAATGTGTCTATGTAATTTGAAACTTGTACATTACTGCAGGTCAAAATGAGTAGACCCATGTTTTGGATATACTGCTAATTTGGTCTGGACGGAATAAGTGTTCTTCATTCGGAGCTTAGGCGACAGACGATGTCACCTCAACTGGTGATGAGACGTTTGCAATCCAACTGCCAAGCTCGGCGAACAGACCGACAATCAAGCGAATGTCAGTGTATGCAATAACGGTAAACTTTTATTGGATCTTATTAACTAGCACCTTCGATGATAAGAAAACCGTGCATTTGGAGTAAACCGGATCAACCTATTGTTTTTCAACAGAATTCGGTAATTTATGTTTTGCTTACTAAAGCGAAGCTGCGTTCATATGGATTTCATTGTTTGTTAAGGCCAGTTGTGAATTCGCTCCATAGTTCAGTATTTCGGACTTATTCAGCTAGCACGGTAGGAGAAAACTATTGTAATCTACGCGAACCCACAAGTAATACTTTGACCAGAATGAATCAGGAATGCCAGTATCTTCTGGTAAGCTGATGAAACCAACTCAAAATCGCTGCGATCGATCCGTTTTGGAGATGCTTGTCTGTCGAATGTAGGCATAACTGAATAGCACTGACAACTCTACGAGACGAAACTTCGAGTTATAAGTTATTTTATGTGGATCTACGCGGTGCTCGTTAAAGACGGGCCAGGAATCCCTCTTAGCAAAACAGCGCGCACTGCGTACGATGGCAGCTTCCATTTTTACCACATATCCGCTGATGGAGTACCAGCCCTGGGATGTCATGCTTTCTGTCAGTACATACCGACTTTACCGGCGAAACTCTGTGTCACTTGGAACACGTAAATGTCTCCACTGGGCACAGACTCAACCAGAATCCCGCCGCAATGCCTTGGACCCTTCTAAATCTTGTGTAGACTGCCGAAGCTTCGCCCTCAGTAGGTATTTTCCAGCAAAATGCACTTCATAAGCTATTTCATTAACTTTACATGGTCAGTATTTGTTGATGTATGTACCTGTTATTCCTCAAACCCTTAAGCGGTGGAGCTGTTATCGGTTAAATCGTAGCTCTTTTCGACGCGACTAATAACACTGACAATTCACGAGGATCTGTGATAACGAATGTGCTACAACCTTTTCGCCACCATTTCGGCAACAGGGGAAGCGTTTAAATCCGTTTTTCTCTTTGCGGCCTTGTCCCATGTGGCTTGCATGCTGCTACGGGGTACCGCGTCTGTGTAGTTTTGCCCAGGAGTTTGCATGGAAATCCGAAGATATCGAAGTGCAGTCTAACCTAACCAAACCCAGTAAAACTGTTTCCTAGTGTGGAACGGTTATTCCTTTGACCGCTTAACTACTGACAGAATGAGGTTTAAATTAATTCCGGCGATCTTTCATTGTTTTTTATTTACTTACACCGATATTCTGGTGGAATCCGTGAAATCCAAAGTCACCACCCCTGTTTGATATAATGTTTGCATACAAGCAGCGAAGGCAGAATTAGCTTTTACGTTAAGCAGGGTTTTTCTTTCAGAGACCAGACAATGTGTCTGTCAGTTAACTAATTATTGTATTTTACTTGGCTTTAAGAATTTTGTTTTGTCTAACTGCAGTTATTCACAAGACTGACACTTTGTACCATCTAACAACATGGAACATCATGGCCGTTGGGTTATTCACTAAGCTGGTCAATTTTATTGTAACCGTTTCATCACCAATCGGAGTGACATCAGAGGATTGTTAGGGAGCATGGTGAACTGTAACGATGGGTCGGTGGTTGTGTCACAACTACAATGAGCTTTTACACTACCTAGGCTACCAATGTTCTCCTCCATATAAAATGTCATTCCAAATCTGTTCTACTATCTTTTTTATCAAGGTGATGCGGAGTAAATTTAAAGACTGTATTGTCTCGAATATCCGAGTTCCTGTGCGACAATTTGAACGTTTGATGGTGTGACTGTATTCACCGTCTTTTGCAATTTACACTCAATGATAAATAATTACACAACTATGTTTCCTTCTGCGCTATTTCATTTGAATATAGGTTGAAAATCATGCATGGTTGGCAATAGTAGGGAGCTCATCATATTTTAGAAGGATGGGATGTCTATTTCGCGAAATTCATACGCACAATGTTACTTCAGAGGGTCATTGCATTGTCTACCGTTTGAGAAAAGAAATAATGTTTTAGTAGAACACTGCTGGGCGATAGGTTTGTGATGGGCTGGATCAAAGTAACCTCATAGATTTCGTATAGTGGAAAATTTGTAATTGAGGATGTCCAAGTACAGGTCCACTGAAAAAGTGCGACAGGAAGCGATCCTGGAGATACTCGGCTAATCACTCGTCTAACAGGAGGGATTTTAGTGGCGGAATCCCACACGAATCTCGCTTTACCGCTCACATTCAGGTGCTGCTAAGGCAGAGAAGCTTATCCCAAGCAAGATTGGCCGGAATTCCGGGCTCTTGGCGGTTCGGTATGAAGCCGAGTTCTGATTGGTCTGAACCCAACAGTCAGTCATGATATTGGTCGAATGCCGGTTGCCAGTGCCGGTTCCAGAAGGCGTCAGAATTTCCAGAAAGTTGCTTCCGCTTACACTATTTGCATGATGCGCTGTACTATTGTTCATGACTTCGTTTTGGGCGTTAATATACCTTGTTTTGACGTGAACGCCGGCTTGGGAGGCTCAGACCGAGAACTAAGCTGAGAAGAATACCGTTACTACATGTTCCTTTCGGACGTGACAACTCGTTTATATAATGTCTACCCGAGACGTACTCATTATTACGATAATTGAATAGTCTGCGCAGTAAAAAATTAGGCATTTGGCTTTGTAAGCTGTGTGGGCGTCTGTCCATTTTACTTCTGGCTAAAATTTCTCGTCGAGATCTACCACTTGTGCATCTCCAAAACAGCACGCCGAGTCGTTGGCCAAACTGTTTACGCACTAAACTGTTTCTTACAGCAGTCTACACGTACAGCTTTCAGGCATGTGCAGCCGTTTTTCAGTTCCCCATCAAATGACTACTTCTTTTTATCCCAGTAGTTCGCGATCAAGAAAAACAAGCGTTTTGTCTAGTTTCATCTTATCCTTCACTATGGCGACTGGATGCGATGAAGCCGACAAAGATCAGCCTACATACTTCGAAACTAGACTGCTCATCGGCTGGTGTGACCCTTGAGAAAGGAGCCTGCATGAGATGGGAGGACATCGGTGGTTTCAAGCCTGAAGCAGAGGACAGCAGGTCTCCTACGAAAAGTGTCGTGTGGAAAATCATAAGAGAAAAAAACTGTTACATCTGATGCGGCTCGAAAACTTACCAAAAGATGCTAACAGAAATCTAGCGTGGTCCGGCCACTGAATGCTCATAGAAGAATATCCAGCGTGATGACGTGACGTGAGATAAAGGCGAATATCAGAGTTGCGTCAGTCGAAAAATTGTCACTTAGCAACTCTTTGTTACTGTAGGAGCAGGGCCCCTCTCCTCAAAGCAGCGTTGTGTTGGCTGGCGCATACGGAAAATCATAATCAAACACATCCATATTTCTATCGGTATTCAGCCTGTGAGTATCAAAGCAACCGATGGAGACCAGGTAGAACC